ATCAAGCTTGTTACATCTGAAGAAGCAAACTCTTTTCAAAAGGAAGTTCCTATTGAGGGACTAGTTCAAGGAACTATTGGAAATGGAGCACTTCATGATTCTTTAAATAAGCCAGATATTTTTGATGGCTCTCATGATGGTGATGACAATCTACAAGACAATATCCCAAAGTTTGTTCAAGTGCAAGAAGATAAAGTAGTACCAATTACGGCTGATGTTGAGGGTTCTGTTCTTGATTCAAACAATTGTCAGACTGTAAGATCTCATTTTAGGTCGTCTTTTAACACAGAAAATGAAAAGGGCTGGATGTGGGCTCCATTTAGAGAAATTCAACATGAATACATGAATGATCTCTGGAGAGGTTACTTCCCAAAATTTGATTCTGTATCTAGCTTTGCTCAAGACACTACAGGTTATAAACTGATAAATGATGAGGGGTCGAAACTTCAAATTCCTCTTGGTTTGGATGACTATGTTGTGTCAGATTATGAAGATGAATTTTCAAGCATAATTGCTTGTGCTCTAGCCTTGTTGAAGGACCTACCTATTGTGAGTCAGGAACTTGATGAGGATTTCAGGAAAGGAAAAGGGATGATGATGTCGAATGATAATTCACAGAGCCTGACACGAATATTTTCTCTTGCCTCCCCTCATTGGTCTTCAACTGGTTATTTGGATGCAGATGGAATTTATTCTTCAGAAGAGTCACACTTCTCAAGCTTTGATAGTCTGGATTTATTGGACTCTGTGGTGTCTTTGGCAGCTGTTCGTCCAGAAGTCTCTTTGGGCATTGGGAAAGTTCCGGGAAAGCGAAAATACTCTGTGATATGCTTATATTCCAGCCAATTTCGCCATCTGCGAAATCGATGTTGTCCATCTGAAATTGATTATATTGCTTCCCTAAGTCGTTGCAGGAACTGGGATGCCAAAGGTGGGAAGAGTAAATCTTTCTTTGCTAAAACTCTAGATGATAGGTTCATCATAAAAGAAATTAAGAGGACTGAGTTTGAAGCTTTCTTGAAGTTTGCTTCAAATTACTTCGAGTATATGAATGAATGCTATGAACTTGGGAACCAGACCTGCCTTGCAAAAATTCTTGGCATTTACCAGGTTGGTCTGTTTACATCATCTTGTATAGCCAGCAAAATGAGGTGAAGTTTTTCTTTTCTCTAATGTCATAATGAATTTTTTTGTGATGCAGGTAACCATTAGACAAACAAAAAATGGGAAAGAGACAAGACATGATCTAATGGTGATGGAGAACCTTTCTTTTGGTCGAAATATCAAACGCCAATACGATCTTAAAGGCGCCTTGCATGCTCGATTTAATTCAACAGGAAATGCTGATGATGTTCTTTTGGACCAAAATTTTGTTAATGACATGAATGTTTCTCCTCTCTATGTTAGTAGGAAATCAAAGCGAATTCTGCAACGGGCTGTCTGGAATGACACTAATTTCCTCCAGGTGAGTTTGTATAATTTGTTCCGGTAATCTATGCTACTACATGCTGACCTGTATGTCAGATTATTTTACTCTTTCAACTGCCCAGGTGTCATGCATGATGCAGTGTTTAGCTGCTGATTGCTTGTCTTTGTTTTTTCCTTTCAGTCTATCAATGTTATGGATTATTCTTTGCTAGTGGGAGTGGATGCTCAGAAGCGTGAATTGGTGTGTGGGATCATTGATTATCTGAGGCAGTACACCTGGGACAAACAACTTGAGAATTGGGTCAAGTCATCCCTTGTACCCAAGAACCAGCAGCCAACTATCATCTCTCCCAAAGAGTACAAAAAGCGATTCAGAAAGTTTATCGATACGCATTTCCTCAGTGTTCCTGACCATTGGTGCTCTCAGAGATCCTCAAATCCTTGCAGACTTTGTGGGATGGGAGATGATGATGATTGTTTGCACTCAAATTCTCAGGAGCTAGGGGAGAACAATGATAAGATCTGCCACTTTGAACAGCAAGGCGAACAAGATGGTTCTTCTCATGGTAAATCTCAAGAGGGGAAAGAAAATGGTAATGTTTCGTAATTTTTGGAGTTGAATCATTCTTTTATACTTAACAGACGTTGTACATACTTTACCATCTCAGTAAATATAATCCCCTGCAATTTTTTCTGCAAATTTTGGGGATTCTCTCAATATTACAGATCAGCCTTATAGTGGTTGCATGCAAAATTTTTGCAAGATTGTTAGAGTAATTGTAAAAGGTCTGTGGTGGTCTGAATGGGTCTAGTATTAATCCGAATTAATCACTAATATTACTTGTCCCAACCTGCTCTTGGTGCCACAAGTCCTATTGAACGGGCAAGAAAAGAGCTTTTTGTTTGATTGGAAAAGTGCAATTTCAATATGTTAGCTTTTGCACCTTTTTTTGGAGGATAATTTCAGAAACCTCCCTTTAGGTTTCCGACAATTTCACTTGGCAATCTTGATGTTTCAAAAATTATATCCACCTATCTTGTTCGTGTAAAATGACAACTTACTTCCCTTGTTCACTTAAAATGGCAATACCAGGTTTAACATTCTAATGAAATTCTTTCATTTGTCACTTTGCGCTTATATTTAGGATGGGTTTTATATTTATATTTTTTCTATTTCCCTTCTTATCCATTACTCTTATATTTTGCTAGCAAAATCATATTACTATTAGTTCCTAGGGCTCCATCATGATAAAATGTCGAACTAGTAATATTGTTTTGATAACTTTGAATATTGTCTAATTCTTTTGTAGTTTTTGATTGTTTATGTATTTTTTTTCTAGCCAAATTAACAATAACTGAAAATTAAAAGATCCAAAATCACTACTAAATTTTGGTGGTTCCATCACTCAACTAATCCACAAACATAAAAAAAAAATTATGGTGACACTTTCTTCTCCATCTTAAAAGAATTTCTATCTCCAATAAAGCGCAATTAAAAGTAACATATCTTAATGAGATATATCGTTGTAATTGACTATCAAATAACAAATATGGGCATAAAAAATTTGATACTCATTCCTTTGTAATTGTACTAAATTACTATACAATTGTTTAGAAGAATAAATTAAAGTTTATTAAATAGGGGCATTTTAGGGTATTCATTAAAATTTTGACCCTGTTTTTAGGTTTGGTTATTAAAAGTGTCAAATTAGGGGAGGTAAGTATAATTTTTAAAACTTTTAGGGAGCTTAGTGAAATTGCTAGAAACTTCAGGGAAGATTACTGAAATTATCCCCTTTTTTGGGACTTTTTCAGCTTCCCATTATTGTTTGTGCTGGCAGGTTTACAAGAAATTATGCATTTTGATTTCGGTATTCAGATATTTTGATATGTGAATTAACTGATAACAATTGTTAAAAGGTTCTAGAGATGTGGAAAAGCTTGAGGATGATTTTGGTACTTGATGAACAAATGCGTAGCGGTTTCAATTGTTGTTTCAAACCAAAATGGGATATCTAAGCCGAATCGCATTTTATTGTGGTGCTGACTATCCAACAATAGGAACGTGCCTGAAAGGCGCGATAGCACAATAGCTTCGTCAATGAGGCCTTGGTGTGCTGGTCAGCATTGAAGATGAAATTAATTCGCCAATGAAATAGGTTACCTAACGAGAGCTGGTCAAAGGCTGAGGCCCAAGGATGGTAACTGTCCCACCAAGCACTGGTTAGAGTTTTAATTCATTGTAGCATGTTGTATTGATCCCTATCTAAGTGAGTCATTTGAGATCTTTATTTTTTTTAAAAAAAATAACTTCAAACTAATGGTGTATTTCACTGGAAAAACATGAAGAAAGCTAAAATTGGTTGAATCAGTACTTGAAAATCTCAATTTAAACTTACTACTAGTTGGTAAACATGGCCACGATTCTAGAACTGTTAGTTTTAATTTAAAATCTGATGGTTCTGATGTTTTTTAAAGGTGAAATCTAATCTGATTCTTATAAAGATAGTTATAGCTACAATTCTTGAACCTGTGGTTCCGGTTTTGGTTTCTTTTGATCATGGTACAACCCTTTTAGTTAAGTTTAAATACTTATTGTTATAAAATTGATTCTAAGAAAATATGACAATGAATATAAAAAAAAAAAAAAGAAACACTTTGTTGCTTTATCGTGTGCAAGGAAAAAGAAAAAATAATGCAAATTTTATTAAAAATATCTCATTGTTAATAAGATTAGATTGTCTAGAATTTAGATTAGTCATAAAGTATAGACTTACTAATGGAATGAGACAATGGGTTGTTGGATTAGGATTGAAGCTCCTATTATTAGATGCTAACTATTGATATTAAATTCTAAATTAGTCAAATAAGTTTAGATAACAAATGTTTTCTTAGACGGTCTGAATGGGTTGTAAACTACTAGTCCGGTTTTGGTTCAAAATTTTGGTGATTCTAAATCTAAATCTTTAGTCACGGTTATGATTTTGATTCCACTTTCTAAAATCTGATTCCCGTTCTAGTTCAACAAACCATTTGACCTATTCCAATCCGATTATAGTTCAAACCTAAACCGTGGCTGCCCTTACTATTTAAGATTGGATTAAACTTAGTCACTCCACAAAGTAAAGGTTTTTGAAGGTCAAGTTTACCCAAAATATTAATGTTTCAATTGAAATTCTTTGAATTTGGTTTCAAGATCACATATTAGTGAGTTATGACATGGATGATGACATAGATGCAGAGAGTTTTCAAACTCCTAATTATTGCATTTGATTTAGCAAAAAGATTAAAAAAAAAAGGTCATTCTGTACAATTTCCGGAGAAGCAATAAACATGCATATTTGATGTTGTGAAGTAAAAGTCTCTTGGTGAATTTTAATTTTTTAAATTGTGTGCGAAATTGACCATGACAGAGAGGAGGAGACAAAAGCAGGTCGAGTTTCTAAGTTGTTGACATCTAATTCCCATGAAAATTGCAAAACTTCAAAAAAAATTTCACGTTCTTTATTTCTTACTAAACAATGAATTTTAGTCAAAATACGTACAAGAAAGATGAACATAAATTGGATTACCTCAACCATTAGTTAATCCTCGTGGAAAGAAATCCAATGTGAATATTTAGATGACTCTGGCAATGAGTGCCAAACTCCTACAACGAAGAAAACAGGACTTTATATAGCTCAGCAATACACATCACAAGAATAAACAGAAAATTTTTTTTTTGACAAAAAAAAAAAGAAGAAATAAAGAGAAATGGTAATGTCACATACCCAAATAATGTTCATGGCTGTTCCCTCTTGTCAGAAGCAAAGATAGATGATGGATTTTTGAGGAACTGGGAGAGAGGAGGAGAGGTTGAAGGGAAGGGCTTGGAGAAGGAAAAGTGCTATTTCTTGGCTCCTTCTATTGAGGTGTTCCTATCAGCAATGGAAGAGAGACATTTTCGGATCAAGAATTCCGAAGTTTGGCTTACATTTGAAGGTAAATACGTTACATTATATTTGTAAACATCTGTCACTTTACTTTCAAATCATGCAATGCAAGGTGAGTTGGATTTGATTCACCTTTAAACGTGTTTCTCGCGGCTTCACCTGAAAAGTTCAAGGGCCCGTGAATTTCATATGGCAGACTTGATATTATCTGGACTCCCAAATCCCAATAGGTAAACATGGAGTAGTTTGACTGGCCTAGTTAACTATTAGGTATCAATGCATAGTTGTTCACCAACGGTGACTGAATCAACTTAGGATCAAACGGATACACTATACATCTATATGAATTTGAGAAAAATACATATTGTGACAAATGATGAAAAGTAAGATTGAATCCCAAATTATTAAAATGATTTTGTATAATATATGTACCTATACTATTCTATATTGTTGATGTTAATAACTACAATTAACTAATTTATTTCAAACTTATGTTGTAAAGTCTAGAAATTCAAGTCTTTGTTTTGGTTTAGATGAGACTCCATATGTTACAAAGGGGAAGGGGAAAAGTAGGGGTGGGTAAAAATGCCTGCTAATTTGAAAATCTGTGATATTTAACTTGATTCGATTTGAAAAATAAGGTACTTGATTTGTATTATTTGACCGAGTCACAAGAGGGTCAGATATCCACTTATATGCGACGGGAAAGGGGGTAGGATCATAGGATTAACAACTCGCGGGTATCCGACCTGTTTCGCATATATATATATATATTCATTTTTATACACATATTACAAAATAATATTTTTAGAGCTTATTAAATAATTTCATATAACAAATTGCACTACAGCTATGAAAAATTATAGTTTGTTTAGAAGTATTTATTCGTAGAGTTCAATATGTTATGTTCTTTAGGAAATAGGTGAATTGATGTGGAATATGTAGTAAAGAAAGGGTACTACTTATTTGAAAATTTCATTGATTTTAAATTCTTTTAATTTTTTCCTTTTTCTTATAGTATTCTCTTTACATGTTTGTTCCTCAGCATGAGGTTTTTTTTTTTTTTTTTTCAAAATCTATGTTGAGTCTTAGATGAATATATAAAATACAAATTAAATTCCTATAAATTATTTAAAAATTAAATAATAAGTGGGGTGGGTTGGGTACCTATTGACCCAATCCTCTTCTAGCGATATCTGATAACTAGACACCTACTGATATGCATGGTAGATAAAGGTCAGAAAATGGCTAACCTACAAAATACGAATCAAGTTAGCCAAATGGTGTATGAGATAGGTACTCGACCCGTGTCACCTTAGGAGAAAGGGCAAGACTTGAGAGTTTTTGTATACTTTATGTTGTAGAGCCAGAAATTCGAGTTTTTAAATCTCAACCTACACGTTAGAACACTTAAGTTAAATTGTTAAATATATGTGACTCGTCAAGTTTTTGGTTATTGAGTAAGATTTCTCTCTTTCTTTCTTTTATCGTATAAGTATTCTAATACAATTTATTTTCTCCAAAACAGTTATCTGTGTTGAGTAGAATGTCCATAGTAGGTGGTTTTTTTTTATTTAATAAATTGGTTAGTTCAGGTGCTAAATCTAACCCAACAATACCAAAAACATAGTCAAACTTAAGTTACATCATCATAATTTTTAATGAATTGCTTTTTCTTGTAATTCTTGTATTGTTAGATTTTTTTGTTGGGTAAATTAATTATTTTTTAAAAGATACGCGGACATCCTAGATGCAACCAAACTGATACTGCGCCCATCCGTTTGATTATTATCCCAAGCAGTATATATACAGGTTAAAATCTAGTTTGACTAATCGAAGAGTATCTTTTAATTCTTAAACTCCTGCATTCGATTGCAGAGTCCTATAAACAAAAGAGAAAAAGAGGAATTCGATTGCTTAGCGGATAATTGTAAACTAGTTTTCAATTGACCGATTATTCTATCCAAGAGTCAACCTTCCGACTTCTAACTTGGTCTGCTAAACTTTGACAAGAGTATTACTAATTACCGATTACACCATAGCACGCATAGAGGGAAAAGCTAAGAAAACCGCTAGTTCTTGATATCACTTGCGCTAGCTTTTTTGATAATCCCCCGTTTGGATTGTAATTTTCTGCCAAAAAAATATTGTAATTTTTTTAAACATATTTTTTAATTATTTTTCATCTCACATGCATCAAATCATTACGCTACATTGTTTTAGAAGTTCATAAAACAGCAATCTAAACTATTTTTATATTTTTGAGTTTGGCTATAGAACTTTTATTTAAGTCGATGTACCACGTTCTATTTTATTCTCTAACAACTTATCAATCATCACGTGTAATCTAGTTTAATGGAATTTGATCAGAAAATGGTTAAATTAGAAAAATAAACTTATAAACAACATAAAAGCACCCATGTTAAGGTCTAGGTGCTTAAATGGTAAAACAGCCATCTTTTGATCGATTTTAGGTTCTACAAAAACAGAATGATATGCATCAAGGTACTTATTCTCAAGTACAGAAATAATTTTATTAGTAACTAGTTTCTTGTTGGCTCACACAATGTGTGCGCTCGCGTACATGGGTGCCCAGATTTGTTGAGAATGCAAGCTTACTTATGAGGAACAAATTGAGGAGGATTCTAAAATAGAACGAGTAAATGCTATAGTCCTTGGACAAACTTTAGGAAATTAATACAATGAATCCGATTTCATGAATTATTTTACATGATTTTTAGTACCACCACAAAACCCTCTCAATGAATGCATGAAACAATGAAGACTTTCCGTTGTAATTCTTCTCTTCCATTCATTCTATCAAGCTTCGAAGTAAGTATTGTCTTCTTCAGTAGCCATTTTCCTTTTTCTGAACTCATCTACCAAGGGACTTGAATATCCACCAAAACGTGCACTTCATGTGAGTGAACGTTCATTCATTTAGTTGGAGAGCATTAAGAGCTACTTTCCTACATCCATCCAAACTGAAACCAGACGGTGAAGCTGATGATGGATAATCTTTCCCTCCATATTTATAAGACCCTACAAAGGAAGAAATCAGAGGTTAGTAAAAACACTAAATGTGCACTTTGACATTTAAACAAAAGATACCAAATTTTGTGGTTCTCACTCCTTGAAACTTCTGTACAAAAGAAAATTATCTTGGCACTATTTTGATATGCTACAATTGTACATTCAGCTTACAAGTAACTAATTATGCCTAGTTGACCATGCAACATCTCGATGAAACAGTTAGCCAAGACAAGGTTGATGTCAGTAGTATAAGCCCAACTTACGAGTGCACATGGCAGTAAAGGCTAACTTTATATGGACTTCTGGGGAAACGTGCGTGATTATAAAAACAAATGAGTAGCTAAGCATGACCATGCTCCTTTATAATCTACCATGAGAAACTATCATGCTTAAAAACAAATGCACATTTTTGAAATACACTAATTGAATTTCATTTCCGCTGTACTAAGAGTTCAAGTACCCAGAAGCTTAACAGATAGGAATTTTTAACAAGCATATTAATAAATCCTTTTTTCTCCTAACTTATAACCCTCCTTCTCCATTAAAATGCTGTCTATTTTTTCATAGTACCATCTAACTTCACATAGAATGTAATTGACAAGTAGAAGTACATGGAAGGCCAAGAAAGAAGAAGAAAAGAAAGAAAGAAAAACACTTCCAACAGGAAATCCGGCTTGGATATGCTAAAAGCAGGGCATACCATCAAAGTTGCCAAGATGCAAGAATTGTTAGGCTCTTCACCAGCCTTCAATATCTCAGTGCGAGCCGCTAGCAAGCCATTATGCAAAGAACTGTATACAAGATCCATAAAAATTGTAAAAGAGATGAATCTAAAAGAGAGGTGCTAAGTAATAGAATAAAGAGCAGCATATGTCCAGAAATCAACACCTCAGAAGCTTCCTTTAGTTATTATTAATAAAAGCAAAAGGTCATATTGCAATAGAGGTCCCAAAAAGTAGTATGCTATAAATCTTTGCTAGAGGATAAGCAATACCTGTGCACATGAAGGTTATCTTTTATTCCCTTTAGATATACACTTCCTGGACAGATGCATCCTTTCCATCTGATAATTTTGGAATCTTAAAAGAATCCGATTCTGAGATAGCATCAGCCATTTGCACAGATCCATCACCAAGATTCACTACTCCGACAATATGAGAAAATTACTTTCCCAATTTCCGTGAGAGATAGTTGATACTCACCTGCATATGAACAAAAAATTTCAAACACAGTTCAAAATCCTTTCTATTGCGTTCTTTCTCTTTGAAGTTAAGGTGATCTTCAATTTGCTCCTTCTTGGAAGCTCAAAAGTTGGAACCAAGCTTACAAGATCCGGTAAAGGATACTATGACAGCCTTCCTAAAATATGAAATGTTAAGCATGTTTCATTTCTGCACAAAAGTTGCAGCAGTATTGTAGTCACATACTTAATCATAAGAAAGGAACAAACTTCCTTGCGGACTTAGTTGATCCATTTGCAGCTCACAAGAGCAAAATTGTTCCCAAAAAAAAAAAAAAGGAGCACTGTGAAAGGAAGAAACTATCCTTGCATTTCCAAAAATCAAAACAATTGAAGCATGTTTCACAGCAAGATAAAGGATCACTCTCCTTGTCTACAAGTATGATCTTTTCTCTGCAACATGAGTAGGGAAGGCCTGCAATGTGTTTAGTCCCTTCCCTGTATCATATTTGCAATAGCTGCACAAAGGCAATGAAGAGCTTTAATCTCACACTGGTAATCCCATCGCCAATTTTTTTCTTTTTTTGACCAGGAAATTACATTTGAAAGTTTCTTATCCTCTAATCATGACTATATTAAATTCCAATTCAACACATCATCTTTTGGCTACTAATTAGAAAATCCATCAGAGGAAAAGAGGTAGTAACAAAAACTTCCAGCAAATTAATGGAAAATTCCTCTATTTCAATAACATTTTCTAAATTCCCCAAAAAATTTTGAGAAAAAACCATAGAAAATCTATCCTTCCAACTTGGATAAGTAAGATGAAGCTTGCTGTGAAGTTAGAAAAGTTCTAAAAAAAGCCCAGTTTGTATTTGAAACAGTGGTTGTAGAGAATTGAATCATCCCTTATCTTCTAAATCCTTTGACTTCTTTCTTAAATCCAAACAATATCAAAAGTTCACCTTCTTTTCTCTTCTAAGCTAAAAGCTAAAAATAATGTGCAAACTTAGTTGGTTCAATGATTTTTTTCCAAATTTGCAATAGCTCAAACTGCATATATCATATTTTGTCAACAATACAGAGGGCATACCATTATAAAGCTGGGCAGTCATAAAATATAGAATAGCAGACGGATATTGCTGTGTACTTTCCCATCTCACTAGCACAGATGCTTTCCTCAGTGCAAAGGCCATGTTTTTTCTACTCTTGTTTTTACTCAAATATGAAATCTCTCAACTTACACAATGTCCGTGCTGTCTCAACTCTTAATACCATAAGAAACAGAAGAGGAAAAGAGAATGCAGAGCTATCCTAAGTGATAGCTTATCATTGTTGAAGTTCAATGATGAACTAACTTCAAAAACTCCAGCAACGTTATAACAACAAAAAAGTCAAAATATGCTGAATAACTCTGAAATTGCTGTAATTTAAAACAATTCTAAAGCTGTGACTGAGCTCATGTTGGTACTGAACTTGACTGGTACAAGTCCATTTAATTTTCATAGACGAGAAATTGCATCAGAACTATAGCAGTCGACTCCAATGAAATCAAATGGCCCTTTAACTAATTGTTCTACTCAGGCATGAATCTTGGAAGCACATCTCTCACCAAAGCCTTTATGATGAACTGATAATCACCAATAATTTTGCAATCCTATTATTTATATTAAAAAATAGAGTGAGTTGTATAACAAAAAAATCATCCAATTGCACCACACCTTCCCTAAAAATCACGAATACTGATTTCTAGTTGCTGGAGAAAAGCCAACAACAGCATCCATTGCTACCAACCCAACGAAAGAAGTCGATCATATGCTAAACTTTCGGTAAGTAGTTTTTCTGTTGATGTATAACCCTAAGCACATCATCGCGAAGGGCTATCTGAAATGACAAATGACTTGATCATATGTTAAACTTTCAGTAAATAGCAGAATCAGAATTACTTAATCAATCCATTAAACTAATATTCATTCCATACCCTTCGCTTTTTAGCTTCCAAATGATCTTGTTTTCTCAAGACTGGAGTGGAAGCAAAACAATTCCAAATTTTTTTTGTCTTTTCTCCCCAGTTTTCATAGCCATAAAAAGGCCTGAGACAGCAATTGCAATTTCCAGAATAATGTACATAAATCAAATTCAGTGTCAAAATCATTGAAACAAATCATAAAAGGCCTAAAAAATTCGAAAGTGTGATGAAACCATGGTAGCAATTGAACCATGATAACAACTGAAACTTGGGAGATATCAGACAGATAAATAGTAGCACTTACAGCTTCATAGGGAATCAAACTGGAATGTGCCTAATCCCTTGGTGAGTCTTAATTGTTTAAATCATGTATCACTTGCATTGGCATCTAGCTCCCTAGGAATAGCACAGGACTAACATTCAGCGAAAATGACCAGATGCTAATAGGTTAAGGAAAAAACTTCAAAGTATTAAAAAAAAAAAGAAGACATAAATGCTACATGCAACTAATTATTTTCCATAATTTGAAATAAAAGATAGTTTCGGTTACGGAGACCATAGAATACTATTTGGTCAGAACTCAAGAAAATCACTCCATCTAATGTAAGAATTGCAAGTTAAAGCAATACTGGTTCAGTGTTGCCAAGACCCGACATTGAATATCACCACAGTACTAGATTTCGAAATTAATTTTGATACTAATGCCCTATACCGCCTTTGAATTTTAAACTTTATCAACATACCAAAGTAGAGTTGGGCAATTAGCAAAATCATGCGTGAAAAGGCTCAGTATTCAATGCCAAGAGGGAGGAATGGTACCATGGCTGCAACCAGTTGCATATAAGTGAGGGAAACTATTAAATTTGTTCCAATCTCAGATCTGCTATCCAAGTAGCCTGCCAAGGAATGGGTTCATAACCTCCATGTCAAATTCATAAACCACTACAAAAATAACATCACAGCCAGTATTATGAATTTTGCTATAACATATTCCATGGGAGGTGGTTTGGAGATTGAGTTTAAGTTGGATTAGGAGGGGTGAAAGGGAAGAGGGAAATTTCTCAAGGGGATAAACTAATTAAGAGGATAGCAGGATAGAGTATCGGATTAGTTAAAAACAGGAGGGACGAGCAGTGGCAGCTCCTATTCAGTGGGATGGGGCAAAGGATCAACAAGGGAATTTCAAGCGATGGTGGCTAAGGATTTCAGAAGCAAGGCATAGACCAGAGGGGTTGGAACATATTGGTTTAACTGCTAATATCCTGTGGCAGGTGTGGAAAGAAAGGAATAAGAGGGAATTTGAGAAATCAGATACAGTAACACCTTTCAAAACAATAGCAAGAGCACACAAGGATTGGATGGAACAGCTGCAGGAAGAGGGCACGAAAGTTGGAAAGAGCACAGAAGAAACAGTCCCTGGACAAGAATTGCAAGATCAGAACTATACAAACGAGGGAGCTGTGATAATGGAGATAGAAACAACAAAGAAAAAAGGACAGCATAATGTTGGGATAGGAGTCACAGTTAAGGAATATGCAAGAAATAGAATGACAGGGTGGATGATGAATGAGATCAGCCTGGGAAACAAAGTCCTAGATGATGCACTAGCTCTGAAACTGGCCTTGTGCAAAGCTGTGCATCGAAACTAGAGCAAGGTTAAACTGAAGTTTTGTAACAAAGAGCTGTGGAGACAAATCAAACAGCAGAGCCCTGCGGACATTAAGATGGCACCAGTACTGGAAGACATCTCTAAGTTAAAGAGGTTGTTTTGCATGTGCTCTTTTGACTTGTGTAGACAAGAACATATATTAATTAGTAAAAAATTAAGTGATGATGCCTTAGGCGTTATTGTTGATGAGGAAAGACTGTTTCCTCAGTGTTCTTAGAACACGTTTTGTATAGCTTCTCTCGAGCCGTTGCTCGTATATGTACTTTTTCTCATTAAAGCAATGAAAATATCCTATCGTTTCGAGAAAAAAAAAAAAAAAAAGCAGTGGCACCAAAAAGGACTAAACGGTTAGTCGGGATCGAATCCCACTATGAAAAAATTTTTCATAAAAGAGGTGTCAGAACATCTATTTTTTTGATTTAATTAAATTTATTTACCTGTTAGTCGTGCACAATTTTTTTAGACTCCTCCTCTTTTATAAAATAAAATAAAATAAATTATAAAATATTATATTATTCATCTTCTTTTATATAATAAAATATATTAAATTATAAAAATATTCTCATTTCAATAAAAAAATGACAAAAAAGTGTGCAAAGCAAGGGTAAAATTAGATTATAAGAATATTATATCGCTCATCTAAATAACAAAATATATTAAATTTTAAAAGTATTCTCATTTCGACAAAAGAAAAATGACAAAGAGGTGGGAAAAAGCAAAGGTGAGCGCACAAAGAAGATGACAGAGAATGCAAAGAAGGCATGTGGCATTCTAGAAAGTTAGGCGGCTTCGACTAATTAGTGTATCTAGAAAGCGGAAAAGCACGTGGCATTCTCTGTCCATAACGGAAAAGAATGAAACAGGTAAATCAAAGCAAATCTATATTGTATATAAGAAAAGAGCAAGGTTTAGTGTTTTCCTTTTCTCTTGCCACATTACTTCTTAATTGTCTGACAAGTGGCAAGGTAAAATGTTTCTTGTAAATTGTCTAAATCTAAAGCTTCTCTTGTCCGAGGCCTTCTATTTCTTTTCCTTCTTTTGCCATTGCACTGTTAATGTAGCATGCTGTCTCACTGACACATGGCACTCTCGGTGAATTTTTGAGCTTTCATTCTTTCCTTTTCTTTTTATAGGCAATGGTAGATAGATAGATTGGACTGCATTGTACAATGACCAATTTTGGTTTGGCCTTGGCATTCAAGTATGAGGTTCAATTATTTTTATTGGATTTTTCAATTTGTAAGCTTTTGATAGATGTAATTCAATTACAAATTATTATTATTATTATCATTATTTCAATTTATATTTATTATGATGTCAATTTGAGAGAGTATTTTTCAAATCATCGTATTTTCAAAAACAAAAAGAAATATTTAAAATTGATTTGAAGCTCTAGGTCTTGGATAGATGTTTTTTTTTCTTTTTTTTTTTTTAAGTGCAAGCAGGAGAATTCGAACCCAAGACCTCTTACTTGCACTCTCTTCCCCCGTAACACCAACCCATCCCTCCCCCCCCCCGATCTTGGACAGATGTAATCCAATTATAATATTATTATCATTATCATTATTTGAATTTATATTTATTACGATTTGAAATATCATTTAAACTTATATTTCACAGATTAACTTGATTTTATTAAAAATCATAGAATTCTATTCGTCTTTTTGAAAGTTTATATTATTTTATTTTTTTGCTACGTAGTTAATATAACTTTTGCTATTTTAGAAGCCGTCAAAAAATGATAGAAAAATTGTCACATTTTCAAAAATTAAAAGAAATATCCAAATCTGATAGCAAGAATTTTATTATTTTAATCTACATGCTAAAAAATATTTAAACTTTCTTAATCAAACCTTGGCTATTTTTGAACTCGGAGGAAAAGAAAAAGATATCTTCAAAGTGGGAAAATGATAAAAAAAAAAAAGAAAAGAAATTGGTTCCAATTTGTTATAAATGCAAAAATGAAATAGCCAACTAATAGAATATACACTTTCGAATCAATTTTATTTTAATTTATTGATATGTGAACATTTGTCTTTTATTTTGACAAAAAAAATTTTTGTTGAGCAAATGAATGCATTAATTTCTGAATGACAAAAAATACATGCATTTGTTTTTTTAAGGAATGGCAGGGTAAAATGTTTCTTGCAAATTGTCTAAATAAAGTTTCTCTTGTCCGAAGCCTTCTATTTCTCTTCCTTCTTTTGCCATTGCACTGTTTTTTTCTCAAATTGCCGTTGAATCACTTCGTAGCAGAAAAAAGGAAGAATTTACTGGTAACTTCAAACCAAGTACAATTCCTAAAAGAAGCTGATTCTTGGGGCAGGTGCAATCACGTGCATGTGGAGGGTTTTTGTGGTTCTAACCGGAAGAAAAGACAATTCATATTTTGTTCAGAAATATGAACAAAAGGCAAGTGCATATTTTATTCATATTTTGTTCAGAAAAGGCAAGTGCAATGCTTTGTTCAGAAAATTGGTAGAACAGTAGCATCTTTTGCAGTTTCATATTCAGCTATCTGAGTGGAAGAAACGGAGAAGAAGAGATTTTGCTACCAAATCCAGCAGGTCAACACCCCTCTTCAAGCCTTCTATTTCTTTTCCTTCTTTCGCCATTGCACTGTTTCTTTCCCAAATTGCCGTTGAACCCTTTCCCTCATTTATCTCTACCACACGGCTCTTCTGAGCACAAATTCGGCACATTTATCCTCAGCAAGTCCAATTCCAGCCGCCTATACTACCAAACCCAGCAGGTCAACAACCCTCTTCAAACATGTAAAAAGTTTGGACATGACAACGGATTATATGGGCCAAGGCTGTGCTTAGCACAGCCGATAACCTCCTAGTTTCTCCTACTAACCAAAAGACCCCAATTAATAGAGTAGAATACCGAGAAAGCCCTCCAAAGACCACGGAATCGTGGGGAAAGCGGACAGAAGGTACTCTTCATTGAGCCTCTAAATGCATTTTTTTGGGGGAAACGAAAGGGACCGTATTGATAATCAAAAGCTGTACATTTTTTGAGCAAAGGCTCAATCATTAACATATCTAGTCTATTGGAGAATGCAAGTATTTTTAATTGATTTTAATTGTTGATGTGGCACTCTTTCATTGATCAATTGATGATAGTCCTCTAATTGATTGTAAATTGATGAGATGTCGTCTTCTGATTCATCGATTAGTGATAGTCCTCCTAATTGCATATAAAATTGATGATGTGGTGAGTTTTGATTTGATGAAAGGTGATAGTTCTCTGAATGCACGTGAGATTGTGCTAAGATTTGACCTCTTTTTTTTTCCAACAATAAATCATGTTAGCAACAAATTGGGCTCCGTTTTTATTTTGTTGTCTAAGAAATCTTGTTTGGCTACCAATTTTTCGCAATTAATCGTTATTAATAGCTAATTAATAATGTCAATTTTTTCACCTAACAAATCTCATTTAATTATCAATTTTTTGCTATTAATTGGTTTTTGACATTAACAAAAAAAATGCTCCTTTTTTTGTTGTCCAACAAATCATGTCTAATTACCAATTTTTGGTAATTAATTGTTGATAACTAATTAATAACGTCATGCTTTTGGCCTCTTAACAAATCACGTTTAATTAGCAATTTTTTACAATTATTAACAAAAAATTAACTTCTTTTTTTTGTGGTTGCCCAAAAAATCACATTTAAATATCAAAAAATTTTCAAATGTTATAAAAAATGTCCTCTTTTATTTTGGATTGTCCAACAAATCATGTTTAATTATCAAAATTTTTGCAATTAATTATTAATTAATTAATTAATAATTTCACTTTTTTATTGTCTAACAAATCATATTTAATTACCAGCTTTTTGCCGTTATTACACTTTTTTTTGGTTGCCAAATGAACCACATCTAATTACCAAACTTTTGCAATCAATTGTTGGATTTTTTGGCATGCGGTTGCCCAACAAGTAATTTTAATTACTATTTCTTCTATGTCTACCTATATAGTAAAAGAGTCAATACAATTGTCAAAATGGAGGTGTTAGCTTCTGACATGGCACATTACCATTGGTCAGAATGTGGTCGTCATTCACATGATAACTGCGTGATTTTTTTTTCTTTTTTTTTTTTTTTTTGTAATGTGGAAAGCACGGACGATTCTCACAAGCCCGAACTCCCTAACCCTTTCTTCATCGGCCGCCTGCTCCTTTCTTCCATCTTTCTTCATCTTTCTTGCTTCCTTTCTTTCTCTTAGAATAAGAAATCAAAAACTACATCCAGCCAACTAGGGGTGGCAATTCGGATCCAAATCAGGTTGGCAGGTCGGGTATGCTGACCCGAACCCAAAAATTTCAGGTTGATGGGTTGGTGGGTCGATCCGAAATGACCCGAAACTTAATTTTAATTTATTAATTTATCACTGTAATTTCTAATAAAATCAATTTCTCACAAAACTAATTACATAATCAAGTAATAAAAATTTAAATAAATAATTCCAAACCAAATCTAAAATAAATTAAATACCGTAAAAATGTTTTATTCCAAACAAAATATAAAATAAATTAAAACAGTATAAAAGTAAAAAATAATATAATATATTATTTGTCCAAATATAATAATTTTAACTTCACACAAATTAAATAAATTCATTTAGGATTAAGTAATTAATGCCTTTGACAAAAAGAATAACTTAGTTTAGTTAGATAAAATTATTTTTATGTTTATTAAATTATTTTTAATTCGTAAACGGGTCATATCGGGTCATATCAGGTCACCACGGGTTGACCCGAAATCGACCTGATTTCTTTTCGGGTTCAACCCGATTCTAACCCGAATTCCCGAAACCTCAACCCAAACCCATTAATTTCGTGTTAGGTTCGTGTCGTGTTTTCAGGTCGTGTCGAAAATTGCCACCCCTACAGCCAACTCACCTCCTCCAATGTTTCTCCATTTTTTCCTCTCTCAAAACCTACCTTCCTCCTCTCTTTCATTTCCTTTTTTGGTGAGATAAGAGCTTGCAGGTTTTTCCCCCCCTCTTTTTAGAATTTTTTCCTCATATTCTAGATTAATCTATCTTCAGCATCAGCATCTTTCTCCTACCTCC